TGGCTGAAACCTGACAAAATATTTGAAAGAATTTTAAGTAGCACTATCGTCATGCAGGGGTGGAAAACTTTTCCTTTCTTCCCTTCTAGGTTCTTTGGCTGGTCTAATAATTAAATCGACGTAAAGCAGATTAACAGATTAAACAAATGTCATACATATGGGAGCCCCATAAAAATATGAGACTCTCAGGTGGTCAGGTAATTGAGGCTTATATACCATAGCGAGTTAAGGACAAGGGGCTAGGGATCTGGGGCTTCAAAGGGGAGGGAGACAATTCACAGGAGGATGAGAAGAAAAAATGTTTGGTAAGCAAGTGTTTGCCCTGCCGTGCAGATAAGTCTTCCTGATATAAAAAGTTATCTCTGGTAATAATCTTTCTTCCTGGTACAGGCCCCCTATCTAAATTCTTTTAGACAGTTAAGGGGGAAGTAAATAGCTCTTTGTGAGTGTGCTTGTCTTCAGCTCAAAATAATCCACATGCCAAAGTGGCGCGTTCTGGGGTGGCATATTCTGCTCCCTCTCAGTCAAAAGTTGGTAGAATTGGACGCTGATATTCAGAACCTGATAGGAACTTTTTTTAGGCCTTCTCCCCTAAGCTGAAATGAAACTATGTACCCCGAGAGAATGAAAACCATTCTGAAGCCATTGTGGAGGGATTTACTAAAACATTCTAAAGAAACACAGCTCTAAATCTAAAATACAGGAATCTTCTGATTTCCATCTGAGTTGAGGAACTTCTCCCTGATGTAAAGAAGCAAACTGAGGATAACCAGGTTGGATGGCTGTGTCAGAGTCTCAATATGATATCATTCATGTTGCAAACCAATTATTTGAGGAATTAAAAACAACTGTGCTTGTCTTACAAATCAAGTCTCAACAAGAACAGAAATATGGCTCTAGAAACAATTAAAAGCCCACCTATCCTTTTTACCAATCCCAAAACCTCCCCTATTCATCACAAAAGGCTTGCAAAAACCTGGATTTAGGAAACAAAAGCCCTTCTTGGAGAAACTTACATCCTTTCTACGTGCCTCTGAGATGTCAATATTCCACCTGGTCTTCTCTAGGAATCCAGAGACATCTCTTGAAATGCAAAATTCAGGCAGGTAATTCTTATCAGAAAAAAAAAAGCTATTTGGAAATTAGATGAATGAAAAATCTTAAGTCTTTTCCACAAATATTAGTAAAAGCTTTAGCCATCTGAGCAGGTAAGCTTAACTTATTCTATCTGCCAGAAACACAATTTGGATCCAACTGTTCTTTTACAAACTAATGAGTCTTGCATTATTGTACCTGTCTCATGGTTAAAATTTTAAAGTGAAAGCTATAAGATCTCTGCATCTATCTGTATGTTTATGTATGTCTATGTATGTATGTTATAGATGTGTGATATTTTTCTACCTCTGGATGGTATTGCCAAAATTAATTTGTAAAGAGGTCTATTTAGGAGCCGGCCTGGTGGCACAGCGGTTAAGTACATGTGCTCCACTTCGGTGGCCCAGGGTTCACAGGTTCGGATCCTGGGCACGCACCGAGGCACTGCTTGTCAAGCCATGTTGTGGTGGCGTCCCATATAAGGTAGAGGAAGATGGGCACGAATGTTAGCTCAGGGCCAGTCTTCCTCAGCAAAAAAGAGAAGAGGATTGGCATTGGATGTTAGCTCAGGGCTGATCTTCCTCACGAAAAAAAGAAGAAAAGAGCTCTATTTAATTGGCTTAAAGACAAACAGAATTTGTATAAATCAAGTATACCCTCAGAAATATAGAAACTAACCCAAATGTTTCTCAAATTCACATGACCTAGGATAATCTTCAGTAAATTAAAGCTAGTTTAAATTTGTTGTGTTAATTAAAATAGGCATGTCTTTAGAGCTATCAGCATTAAAAATAATACTTGTATTCTACCTATGTTTACTAAAAGTCAAATAAGTTTACGTTATCTCTGTTACAGAATTTGTCAGCAAACAGATAACTTAATATGATGGTCAGCTGTTTAATGTCACACTAAATTTTCATGAGTAATATAAGCATAATTGTTAAGAACAAGTGAATTAAATAGATGCAAGTAAGATAAAACTTTATAAATGAACTTTTCAACAATGATTATGCTTTATGGTATGTCTACTTAAAAACAGTTTCCAAAATCTTTTTGGTAATTTGAAACATTAAATACTGAGAAGTTAAATGATGCATATTCATTGAATATCTAGATCATTTCCAAACAAGATAAAATACTGAGACATTAATTACTAAACATAGGTTTATCCACTTTGTCTTCCTTTTACAGAGGAACTAAAGATATTTGGGTTATTAGTAAAAATGTTTTGTGCCACATCATTGAAAAATTTACTATGAGGAAGCATATACTTCTAGAAATTGTGAAATGTATTTATAAATTGCCAATCCACAGGATGCTAGTGTAACAGTCCATAATTGCTTACTTCTTAGTTTTAAGTAGGAATAAAGGATTCTAAGGGTTAAGAATTTTAATCAACATATATAATTAAAACTACTTAGAAATAATAAGGGTGAAAGGAAACAACTGTGTATGAAGAGTAGGTAAGGAAAGTAGAATGACTGATTGTTCCAGAATGAGAAAGGGAAAAAAACATAGGACAAAACCTGAATGGATATCAAAAAAAAAAAGTTGTAGAAGGTTTGTGGAAAAGGAATCTTGGAAAGAGAATTTTATATGATATGGTCAAGCTGACTAAAATTGGAATGGATTTATTTAAGTTTTTAAAGAATGAGTTTTAATATCAAAAGTACACTGGTGTGGGCCGGCCCCATGGCTTAGTGGTTAAGTGCGCATGCTCCGCTGCTGGCAGCCCGGGTTCGGATCCCGGGCGCGCACTGACGCACCGCTTCTCTGGCCACGCTGAGGCCGCGTCCCACATACAGCAACTAGAAGGATGTGCAGCTATGACATACAACTATCTACTGGGGCTTTGGGGGGAAAATAAATAAATAAATAAAATTTAAAAAAAAAGTACACTGGTGCAAAAGTAGAATTTGGTTTTCTCTCTTAACAAAGTTTTCTTGAATTATTGGTATGCTCTTGATAAGAGACTGTGAAAGGTGTTTTTTTTCACCTTTTGATAAAAATTACTTTTTTGGTAACCTATCAGGAAAGCAAATATTTCGTGTTTTACTAAAATAATTTACTGTGCTTCATGTTGTCTTTATCAGGTCTTTGATTCCTTGAGAAAACCCAGTCTTCTCAATATTAAAAGAACTAAAGTTTGTTCACAACTATGTAACCTTCAATATTTTCCTTTAAAATCTTCTGTTGTCATTTTAGTGAAATAGATGAAGTATTATTTCATAATCATCTGAGATCCTATTTAGTCAAATGTTCAAACTTTTTGACATTTTGATAACTTCTCAAAATCAAATTCTAAATGGAGTCTTTTTATACCTCAAAGTAACTTTGAGATTTCTCAGAGGGCCCCTGAACAATCTCAAATGATTTGTCTCTCACCTTGTAAAAGAGAGATGTTAAACTAGTTAGGTGGGGCCGGCCCGGTGGCTTAGCGGTTAAGTGCGTGCGCTCCGCTGCTGGCGGCCCGGGTTCGGATCCCGGGCGCACACCGAAGCACCACTTCTCCAGCCATGCTGAGGCCGCGTCCCACATACAGCAACTAGAAGGATGTGCAGCTATGACATACAACTATCTACTGGGGTTTTGGGGGAAAAAATAAAAAAGTAAACAAAAAACTAGTTAGGTGTATTTGGTATGTTAATTATACAGGAAGCATTGTCAAATAAGAAATGATGATAAACCTTCTTAGGTTATATGTGAATGGACATATGTTACTAATATGGGTATTCCAGATATTCTTTAACGTTTCTATAAATTGGTCAATACTCTCATTGCCCACTTATTATCCTAAATTATTGTATGCCACAGAAATAATTACATTTCCGATAAGGAACTCTCATCAGATCTTTAACTACAACCATTTTTTAAAGGTCTTTTTGTTATGTACAGATAGTTCTTGTTTTACTCTGATGCTTTTCGAAAGTGCTTCATCTTCAGAGAGAGTCATAGAAAAGACTCTGACAAATACTCTAGAATATAAGTTTCTGATAAAATTAAGATCATAAAAGGGTACTGGGAAAGAATTTCCAGAACTAATGGAAAAACTGGGTTCAAACAGAATAAGAGTTAATAATATGAGATTGAATGAACTGATGAGGATGATTATAATTTTTTTTACAAAATATTATTTGAAACATTGCTGGTTCCTTAATGTTTTATTTTTCTAGAGACCAAAAGAAGTCTAGTTACTAAGTTGCCTGTTTGTTTGAGGTGACTGAGACTTCCAAACAACTGTCACAAGGACTTTAAGACAAGTGTGGAAGCTAGACTGACAGTCCCCATCCCCTTTGGACTGTATAAACTCCTATGATTCCTAGATATTGTGAGGTTGGGAAAGAGAGGCTTCAAGAGGGAGATTTATAGATAAGGCAGGTGGGCCCAAGTAATTCATTTTTACAGTCTTTGGATCTTTTACAATCTTTGACTATCTCTTTGTCCTGGTTGTGAATGGCCAATGTGCATGCCGTCTCTCAGTTTGGACCACTCTGGTTACTGTCTAGTGTGTTTAAGATGACTAATCAGTTCCTAGAAGAGAGGGCAATGGATTCTCTGACCAATCTTATTTGAGATGGTTGATGCTTTGCCTGAAGATTGAGCATTCTAGGTTGATGCCAAGTCATGTTCATTGCGTCATTAGCACAAGTTGATTAGAGATGTCACAGTCCCTAACACTCCCCATGCTGATGACTCAGCTTGTGGAGTTGCCATTGTGCAGCCAGGTGGGAAGATCGCCTGGGTAAGATATCCAGGAAACCACCTGGTTGAGTGCTCTTTGTAAATAGACATCCAGGGTCAGAACAGACTTGTCTGTGGACCATAAATGAGCTAATAATCAACCTTCCAGCTTAGAATGGAGTGAATGGAGAAAAACAGAATCTGAAAGACACTCTATGGCTTACCTGTCTCTGGTCCAGTCTTGTGATGGCAGCATTAGCCCCATAAGCATTGCAGGATTCCACCATATAGTCTGGACTGAGCCCCAGCACTGAGCAGGTCTCTCCATGGGAGCCATCAGCCACCACAATGATTTTGGGCCAGTCTGGCATTACCACCTTCCTCATAAAGTCATCTGTAAACTAAGACACAAAGATGGGCTGATGATGAACAGAGCATGCATGGACATCAATAATGACATTGATGTTTTCTGTTGATGCACTGAGGCAGTGACAAGTAAGAAAACTTTCTATTCTGTTTGTTGCTGTTATTATTAACAGTATTATCGTTATTCACAACAATTTTATTAACTCTCACTATTATAGCTACAATGTAGGAACTATTTATTATCCTAGGCATTGTGCTAAGAGTTTTACATGTATGCTTGCATTCAACATCAACAGTTCTTATGAGGTAGATGTTATTTTAGGCCCATTTTATAGGTGAGAAAAATGAGGATTGAGGAAGTGAAGTAACTTGACCAATATCAAAAAGCTAGTTAAGTATCAGAGTCATAATTGAAACATAGGTCTCCTACTTCAAAGCCCATGCTTTTTGCCACTCCTTTGGTAGGTGCTGGAGATGCAGAAAGGAATAAAACACAGTACTTGCCCTCAAACCTAGAAGGTTAGATGATTCATGTGCAGAAATAATTATCAAAATAGAATGTAATCATTTCAGTTTTTTTTTTTTTTCATGAGGAAGAGTCGCCCTGCTAACATCTGATGTCAATCTTCCCCTTCTTTTGCTTAAGGAATAGTAGCCCTGAGCTAACATCTGTGCCAATATTCCTCTATTTTGTATGTGGGTTGCTGCCACAGTATGGCTGACAAGTGGTGTAGGTCCGTGCCTGGGATCCAAACCCGTGAACCCTGCCCACCAAAGCGGAGCACATTGAACTTAACCACTACACCACGGAGCTGGCCCCAATTGTTTCCCCATTTTTAAATTGGATTGTCTTTTTATTGTTGAGTTATAAAGAGTTCTTTACATTCTAGATACAAATCCCTTATCAGATACATGATTTTCAAATATTTTATCCCATTCTGTTGGTTGTCTTTTCATTTTTTTGATGAATCACACAAATTTTGATTTTTATGAAGTCCAATTTATTAATTTTTTCTTTTGTTGTTTGAACCATTGCCTAATCCAAAGTCACAAAGATTTATGCCTATGTTTTCTTCTAGGAGTTTTATAGTCTTAGCTCTTACATGTAGGTCTTGGATCCATTGTGAGTTAATTTTGGTACATGTTGTGTGGAAAGGTTCCAAACCAATTCTAAAGCATGCGGCTATCCAGTTGTCCCACAACCATTTATTGAAAAGATTATTTTTCCCCAGTGAATGGTCTTGACACCCTTGTCAAAACTGAATTTCCCATAAATATATGAGTTTATTGCTGGGCTCACAATTCTATTCCATTGATGTATGTCTATCCCTATGCCAGTATCATACTATCTGGATTATTCTAGCTTTGTAGTAACTTTTGAAGTCAGGATGCATGAGTTCTCCAATTTTGTTCTTCTTTTTCCAGATTGTTTTTTCTATTCTGGTTTTGTGCATTTCCATATGAATTTTAGGATCAGCTTGTCAATTTCTATATGTCTTGTCTTTTTTCTTCTGCCAAGAAGCCAGCTTAGATTTTGATCCTGATTGCATTGATTCTCCAGATCAATTTGGGGATTCTGGGAGGGCTCACTCTGTGTCAGACCCTGTGCTAAGCACTTTATTGGCGTTATCTCATTGCGTCTTCAAAGAACCCTATAATGTAGGTGTACTTACCATGTCCATTTTACTGATGGGGACAGTAAGGCTTTTAAAGTGTCATAAGTTAAGTTTCTCAAGAAATAGATTCAGAGACAAGATTTTCATTCAGCAATTTTATTGGGGAATGTCCTCAGGATTAACACCTGGGGGACAGGAGGGACGCAGTGTTGTTGAGGGAGAAGTTGAAATGGGATGCAGTTGCAACAGAGGCTTCAGCTGATCCCACGGAAAGAGCTGAAGCTGGGATGGCCCTTCAGCGAGGCCCAGAATTGAGGCAAGGGGCTGGGTCTTTGTTTCTTCTCATCAATATAGGCTGCCACAGGAGAAGGCATAAACTTGAGTGAAGCAGCTCCCTTCAGTTGAGGGCAATTCCTCAGGAGGGCCTCATCTATGAGCAACCAGGAGCCAACACTTCCAGCAGCTGGGAGAATGAATGCCTGTATCCTAGAAGGGGGATCTGGTGCACCACAGCATCTACTACAAGGCAGTTATCACTTGTCCTAGACCATGCAGATAGTAAATGGCAAACAGTGACATCTGAGCCCAATCAGCCTCACTTCAGACCCCTCACTCTCAACATTCATGCTAAATTCACTCATTTGCAGAAATTCAATGTTGGAATTATTCAAAATATCCCTGCTGAATATTTGTGTCCTCCACCCACCTCCAGATTCATATGTTGAAATCCTAGCCCCCAAAGTGATGGTATTAGGAGGTGGTGCCTTTGGGAGGTGATTGGGTCATGAGGGCAGAGCCATCATGAATGGGATTAGTGCCCTTATAAAAGAGACACTAGCCCCCCTCTGCCATGTGAGGATACAACAAGAAGTTGGCAGTCTACAATCCAGAAGAGTACTCTCACCAGAACCCAACCATACTGGCACTCTCATCTTGGACTTCCAGCCTCCAGAACTGTAAGCAATACATTCCTGCTGTTTATAAGCCACCCAGTCTGGTATTTTGTTATAGCTGCTCAAATGGACTAAGACATCCCTGCATTACATCCTCAGCTGCACTTGCTCCCAACAGCGGATTGTGACTTCTGAAGTGTCTTAGCTTAAGGTCTTGATGAGGAAATCTAACACTGGGGCCTCAGGGATCCAGAATTTTAGAAACTGTGGAATGGAAACTAAAGCTTCTCCTTCTTAACTCTGCTTAATGAGAAGCGTGGACTCTGTCTTGGTGGTCTGGGCTCACACAGGTAGAATCTTCCTGATGACCCTCCATGGCTCCTCCGCTCAGCTCAGTGCCCGGAGACGGGTCTGTAAACACTCTCTTCCCCAGCAACAGAGCTGTAAAATGCAAAGGTCTTCTGAGCAGTTTAATAAAGACTTATCTTTCCTAGACTGTCAGCAGAGCAAGCATACAAGTCTTTTACCCTGGGAGCTTTAAGTTATTTCTTAGGGCACAGCTGAGTCTCAAAATCAATGCAGTTTAACTCCTTGCACATATTTTGCCAGAAGTCCATAATGAGTTGACAAACATCTGATATGGCTACGAAGTTGAGACCTAGAGTTTAAATGGATTGAAATAAAAGATTCTAAACTGGAGCTTAGGAGGCCCCTGAAACTGTGTGCCAAGTGGTTTGTATATGTGCATACATGCTTTTTATGGGAGGAGGGCTCTGTCTTCCCTGATGGGTTTCATAACCCCCCCAAAATACAGGATCATTGGTTTAAAAAAACCCAAAACTCTCTTTTTTCCTCTTTTGTCACTTATATGTCTACTTCTTGCTTTTTCCTGGTTTTGCTAAAAATTGGTCCTGGGTTGATACTTATTCCAGGGTCTCTGATGTGTCACGTGGATGACAAAATGGAAAATCTCGATCCAGCACAGCATCACGCATTTGGCGGTTGGACCACACCTTGGTGGCCCAACTGTTCTTTTCTGCTCATCTGAGAGATGGACATTGTGCTGAGAACTTTTCCTTATTTGTGTTTTACTCCATCCTGCAAATATTTTTATAATGTCTTATACCAGGCTATGTGCAAGGTCTAGGGGGTATAAGAAGATAAAAGTTATCTGTAATCTCAATAGACTTACAGTCCCTTTGAGGCTTAAGTTAAAAGAAGGGTAAGTAAACATTTATTGAGCACTTTCTTTGTGCCAGGCTCTTAAAAGCATATATTATCCTGTTTACCTCTCAACACTCTGAAGTTGCTATTGTCCATTCCCTCAACCGACTTCTTTTTTTTTTTTTAAACAAGAAAACCAAAGCTCAGAGAATTTGAAGAACCTATCCTTGGTCACACAGAAAATAAGTCGTAAAGTATATTTAATAAGTACCATGGATGTGCTTATTCTTGTTTATACAGTGGGAATCTTCCTCATTCTTCTCTTAAGGAATTCTCTGAATAGCCAAGGAAGACCCCGGGAATGTTTTTTTTAACTTGAAGCATGGGAGAGGGAGACTGTTCCTATCTCAGGACAGAAATATCAGAGGAAGGTGAGGGAGAGAAGAGAGGGCTGAAGCAAGGGATCTCCACTCCCTCCCACCAGCCCATCTCATTTACTTTGAATGGAAAGGTGAACTCTGACTAGCATGGTAGAAATTTCAGAGTCAAAAGGTCTGGGAAGAATACTCTAGTTAGATTTCCTTCTTTTTTCTAGGAAGGAAGCTGAAGCTGAGAGAAAAGGACTGACTCGCAGTGCCGCTCAGATAATTTAATAATCAAAGTATCCTCTCTCCATCCCCTTCTCAGCCTGCCCTCATATGTTGACGCATGTCCAAAGCTTCTTTATACCCATGCTGCCTCTTTAGTCCTAGACTTTCAAGCTGACATTCTATGATTGCACGATGATTTGCAGTGTAATAAGCACAATGCTATGGTTGTGGGGATAAAATTACTACCTTCTGCTTATGTTTCCACTTATTGAATTATACTACAAGCACCCCAAAGGTGCATAGTCTGGATAGGGGGACCTCAGAACAGGGCTGACTCCAAACTCGGTGCCAGGAAGTAAACCTGTGCTAACTAAACATCTACTTTGTGCCATGCACAACACTTGACATGTCCACACATCTCATTCCATTTAATCTTCACCAATAATCCTTTGGGCTTGGTACAAGCAATTTTTAAGGGGGGACACTGGGTATCTGAGAAGTTAAAACTTTTGCTTAATCTCACCTGACTATTAGTCAATGGTGGAACCTATATATGAACTCAGACTGACTAATTCCTACTCTTTTCCTCTACATCAGGCCATCTTCCAGTGTTTGTCATGGCAGGTGAGCACACAGGATTTGGGATCTGAGAATCTGGCTACAGGGGAGCTGAGAATGCTCTCCATGGGCCTGCCCCCCTTGGAGAATCTAGCAGATGCCTAGGGTGGAGTATGTATGTGTGTTGGTGGAGGGTCATCTTCTCTACAT